CTTAAGTCTAAAACAGATCTCAGGTATATGTGTAGGATAGTATATCACCTTAAGTCTAAAACAGATCTCAGGTGTATGTGTAGGGTAGGATATCACCTTAAGTCCAAAACAGATCTCAGGTATATGTGTAGGGTAGGATATCTTAAGTCTAAAACAGATCTAAGGTACATGTGTAGGGTAGGATATCTTAAGTCTAAAACAGATCTCAGGTGTATGTGTAGGGTAGGATATCACCTTAAGTCTAAAACAAATCACGGGTATATGTGTAGGGAAGGATATCACCTTATGTCTGAAACAACGGGTATATGTGTAGGGTAGGATATCACCTAAGTCTAAATCAAATCACGGGTATATGTGTAGGGTAGGATATCACCTAAGTCTAAAACAGATCTCAGGTATATGTGTAGATAGGATATCACCTGAAGTCTGAAACAGATCTCAGGTACATGTGTAGGGTAGGATACCTTAAGTCTAAAACAGATCTCAGGTATATGTGTAGGGGAGGATATCACCTAAGTCTAAATCAAATCACGGGGATATGTGTAGGGTAGGATATCACCTTAAGTCTAAAACAAATCATGGGTATATGTTTAGGGTAGGATATCACCTAAGTCTAAAACAGATCTCAGGTATATGTGTAGGGAAGGATATCACCTTAAGTCTAAAACAAATCATGGGTATATGTGTAGGGTAGGATATCACCTAAGTCTAAAACAAATCCCAGGTACATGTGTAGGGTAGGATATCACCTTAAGTCTAAAACAGATATAGTATATCACCTTAAGTCTAAAACAAATCATGGGTACATGTGTAGGGTAGGATATCACCCTAAGTCTAAAACAGATCTCAGGTACATGTGTAGGGTAGGATATCACCCTAAGTCTGAAACAGATCTCAGGTACATGTGTAGGATAGGATATCACCTTAAGTCTGAAACAGATCTCAGGTATATGTGTAGGATAGTATATCACCTTAAGTCTAAAACAGATCTCAGGTACATGTGTAGGGTAGGATATCACCTTAAGTCTAAAACAGATCTCAGGTATATGTATAGGGAAGAATATCACCTTAAGTCTAAAACAGATCTCAGGTATATGTGAAGGGTAGGATATCACAGTAAGTCTAAATCAAATCACAGGAATATGTGTAGGGTAGGATATCACCTTAAGTCTTAAACAAATCACAGGAATATGTGAAGGATAGGATATCACCTTAGTCTAAAACATATCACGGGTATATGGTGTAGGGTAGGATATTATCCTAACATAATCCATATGTATAATGTAAGGTAAAAAATACAATCTACCTAAGAGAGACAATTATAACAGAAATCTCGGATGCAATATGTGAGGTTGCAACATATTTACGAGAGGTATAACCATTCAAATCTAAACGTATATTACCATGTCGCCTTTTGAGATCTACGTACTGAATGATAGAAACATAGTTTGTTCGTATCTAAAACCAAATTATTATTTTGTAGCAACTTGAGTGTTAGCCCAAAACAAGTAAAATGGCGAAATGCATGCCGTAAAGTACTGTAAGAGGTTCCGCCAATCACTTCTGTGCTTTTAAATCTTTTCAGTTATGAGTGTAAGTGTGCGCTTAGCCGGGAGTGATCTTACCGGTGCTGGCCGGGTGGAGGTATACTTTTTAGGAATATGGGGGACGATATGCGACGACTCGTGGGACGATAATGACGCCAAAACGGTATGCCGTTCAATGGGATACAGGTACTTAATGTTTTAAGTCGTTTTAGTAGAAAATTCAACATCGTTGACCCTTGCAGACTATACCTGATTAATCCGAGGTTGTCGATTTCCATAATTTAAGAATCCTGTCCCACTGCACCGTTGTTTTTCGTATACAGAGTGACCCCCCCACCCCCCGGACCACCCCACCCCCTTAATTTCTTAGCTGGGTAAATGGGAACCAATTTGTATAAACCGGGGGTCTGACCCCTGAGGGTCCTGAGGGGCGGGGCCCAATAGGGGAAACATAGCATATTCCTTAAAAACCCTTCTTCTTCCGTAGGAATGAAAGGATTTGTTCCATATTTGGTCTGAAGCATCCTTTGGTGAAGGGAAACCAATTTTGTATAAACCGTGGGTCTGGCCCTCGAGGGGCCTAAGGGGTTGGACCAAATATGGGAAACAAAGCAAATTATTAAACAGGGCCGAGGGGCATGGCCAAAAGGGGGCCATTTGGCTATATTGCTATAAACGACTTCTTCTGTTGAATTATGCCATGGATATCGATCATATTTGGTCAGAAGCATTCATGGGAGGCAGGGATTCAAAATTGTACAAATGATTGGGCTGACCCCCCTGTGCTAAAGGTCGGGGCCAAAAAATGTTTATTTTTTTTTTTTTT